GTCCACTAGTTGTTGAAACTGATGCATTTGATCTTGTTATAGATGTTACTCTCAAGTAGAATGGGAAAGGACTTTATGAAAGGCTATCTACATTGGCTCTTAAGTTAAATAATCTCTCAATCAGCCAATAAGAACAGATAGTACCACAAGCTCTATATTGAATCAGCTCCCTTTTGTGCACTGCACCAAATACCACTCTACATGAAAGGATTTTCAATTTCTATATGAAATCTACATCAGCTATCACTCTTCCTATCTAGATATATACTCCAGGAACAGTTTGCTTTTCAAAATATTACCTGATTGTGAAACAAGTTGAGCTATTAAAATTCAATCCTCAGCAAATATGAATCTTCATACCCACAAAAAACTGGAGTGCCAAAAGGACGTTTTTTTGTTTTACTTTGACACTTTTAACTACCTTCACTGCTTGACAATGTTTATTGTTTTAAAAAGTGATGATTAAAATTTTAATAAAACCTAAACATATGAAAGTGAATTTATACATTTTCTTTGTTCTTGAGAATTTTCAACAAAAATAATAATGACTATTTATTCAGTCAGTTATGTGCCATGCATGATATATGCTTAGGCAATCATGTATCTTTCAATACATGACTGATGAGGCAGATTTTTTCCTGAAATAGGTTGCCATTTCTTTCTGGGGTAAACCAGTTGCCATCCAAGGCTATAGAACCCAGTCTGTCCTGCTATTTACCCATAGCTGGGGGGAGAAGAAGAGGATTCATACTTTTCTCAAGGTTATTAGCATGTAAGTGAATGTAATGGATTCAACTGGAATTTGAACTCAGCTCTCCGATTCCTCAATCTGAACCACTATCCATTACTCCACCATGCCTTATTTATTAGATTGTTTATTGGAATAGTTGGCAAAATATTGCCAACTGATTCAAATTTTATAAAATGATAAATAATGGAGATTTCCTTATAGTTTAGATCATATATTTTATAATTTATTAAATGTTTATAAATTTATGAATAAAAAATGTTTTCATATTTATTTCTCTATAAATTGGTAATTAATAAATATTGCATTGCATTAGTTTTAATTTTATTAGTTTTACAATGTTGTAAACATAAAATTATTCTTGTAAATAAGCAATCTAACAAAAAAATAGTGTTTAATATTTTTGTTGTAAATTCTCAAGATCAAAAAGAATGTGTAAAATCACTTTCAGATGTTTAGGTTTTATTATAATTCTAGTCATCACTTTTTAAAACAATAAACATTGCCAAGGAGTGAAGGTAATTAAAATAGTAGTGATGTCAATGGAAAAACTGTCCTTTTTATACACTGTTTTTTTTGTGGGCACAACAGTCCAAGTTTACCAAAGTGTTTATATTCTTGCTAACTTCATTAAAATATATATTAATACTTATTTATTTACGCAACCTAAAATTGCTAGCTCTACCTCAGCACATGTAAAGGGGCATGAACTTCGTTTTAAAAACATGGCTGAAACTTCATAGTACTATACTGACAAATAAGTGTTAAAACATTATTTTTGGCCTTAATAAAGTTATTAAACTTAATCCAGGAATTCTTTGTTGTCTTTCTAACTCATAATTTATTAGTCTTCAGTCGTCTCATACAATTAAGTATTACAAAATGTCTTTCTGATTTTACAACCTTTCTGCCTGCATCATTTTTCACATAGAAACTATTTATATATATTTAGAGATAGGGGTTTAATGAAGAGAAAACATACAGAATTAAATTTGGCAGATGGAATTTTTGAATTACAACTAAATGGAAAAGTACAAGAAAATTTAGTCAATTTCTGATGAATATATTTTGTGCTAGATAAGATGCACCTTAAATTTAGCAGGAAATAAGTTGGAAAAATAAAACTTGGGAAAATTTTCTAGAACTAACCACAGAGTTGACTGAAGAAAGATTCATTGATTTAAAATTTGACTTCAAGCCTGTCTTTCAGCATGTAGGAGACATGCTGACATTGATTTTGGGGAGAGAGACAGAAAAAAGTTTCTGCTGCTAGATACACTAATTTAGTTTGGATAAATTTCTTTTTACGTTGTTATTCATAAAAAAAAACATTTTTTTTTACTGCTTGGATTATTTTTCTTTGATTTGGGCAAATCCTTCTCTGCAATCCTCTATGTAGAATCTCTGTTAGAGTAGAGAAAAATAACATCTTCATGAGATAAAGGCAAAGCAATATGGAGACAAACCTGCATTGGTGAAATCAAAGACATCTTTGACTGGAGTGGTGTGATGACTGAAGACTTGTAATTAAAATAAAGTTAATATGAAATGGAAAGAAGAATGTAAACAATAACATTTTCATTTTATTGATTGTGAAGAATAATAAATTAATACTTAAATATATATATATATATATATATATATGAGGCAGTGTTGAAAGTTCTCGGCCTGATCTACTTCTCAAAAACTGACCAAATGACCAAAGATCAGAACTTTTTTTAGGAAGAGCTTCATAATTGTGCCAATAATTTTGTAGCATTGCCTTATATATATTTATACATTCCTTAAATCTTACATTTAGAACTATAAGCTAACTACTTGAAATTTTCTACTTATCTGTTTATGATAGTTATAATAAAATTTAGAAAATTCTGTATAGCAAATAAGATTTTATAAGGATTTTGTTTTAATAATATTGGTTTTCTGTTTAATGAAGAAATACACTGCAGGAGAATGCATTGTAAAATTTCTTATATTAAAAATGTAATATGAGGAACTTACAATAAAACAATTTCATATATGACATATATATATATATATATATATATATATATATATATATATATATATAAATATATATATTTTATGGTAAAATCAATATCAGGAATATAGCATATGTAAAGATAAAAGTGGACATTGAAGTCAAAACCCAGAGGCAACAGTCTGTTTTATGTTAAACGCAATCGTCAGGCCATATATTTACACCTTGTAAATATTTTGCTTGAAATAGACTGTTTTCTCTGGGTGTGCACTTCAATGTCCACTTATATACCTTGTAAATGTTAAGCTGAAAATATACATTGGGAAAGATTTGCTACAGAAATCTAGAGCAAAAGAAGTTAGTTTGGAAAGTACTGGACAGAATTTTTGAAAGAATTTATAAGAAAATATTCACTTATTTTCAGAAGATGTCATATTAGAAAATAGATAAAACTTGACTGTACATGATAATTAGCAAACTAATGTCAAAGACAAGTGTGCTGGGTTTAATCTTTACTGAGTAACCAAATATTGTCATAGCCTTGCGTGATACTATGTGAAGTTTCAGACCCATAACCGAGATTATTGTGTTTTCCAGTTGGTGCCAAGATTATTCAAGCTCAATTAGAAACCAGGGTTTCTGATGCTGATTTTCAAAGCAAGATTTGGAGATTGATGCAACACAATCTTCCTATCCCCCTTTCTTCTATTGGCTTTGTGTTATACTGGGCAAAGATGAAGAAATATCACAGTAAAAGTCAATTATACCACAATCCCAGAGGTTTGAATCAATACACTCCTACCAGACTCATTATTGTCTGAGGAATTATAGCCAAGTGCAAAATTGAAAAATTTATGACCATTTATTTTTGTCAAAATGAAGAATGTATCTGTTTGTTTTTTTTTTTTTTTTTTTTTCATTTAAAACAAATATGAAAAAATTCCTTAAATTCTTTTGGATGAATTAGTGAAATTTTGGCAAACTTGGACCTTTGTGCCCACAAAGAAACTGAGTTCTCAAAAGGAAGGTTTTCCCTTGACACTGCTATTATTTTAACTACCTTCACTACTTCAGCCATGTTTATTGTTTTAAAAAGTGATGCTTAGAATTGTAATAAAACCTAAACATATGAAAGTGAATTTATACATTTTCTTTGTTCTTGAGGAAAAAATAATAAGCACTGTTTATTTATTAAGTTGTTTATTGGAATGGTTGACAAAACATTGGCTAATTGCCAATCAATTTGAACATTATAAAATGATAAATAAGGATTTCCTTATAGTTGGTTTATATATTTTAATAATTTAGTAAATTTTTATAATCTAATGAATAAAAAATTGTTTTCATATTTATTTCTTTATAAATTGGTAAATAATAAATATTGCATTAGTTTTAATACAAATGTATTAGTTTTTAAAATGTTGTAAATATAAAGTAATTCATGTAAAAACAATTTAATAAATAGTGTTTAATATTTTTGCTGAAAATTCTCAAGACCAAAAAAGTGTATAAATTCACTTTCATCTTATGTTTAAGTTTTATTCCAATTCTAATCATCATTTTTTTGAAACAAACATTGCTCAGGAGTGATGGTAGTTAAAATAATAGTGTTTTCATTTGAAAAGGAAATGTTCACATAAATGCAAATGTGACAGTCAGACAAAGTTAAGTGTGATTACTGATATTACCCTGAAATATAAGCAAGGATGTGCCGGTGGTGTAATAGTCAGTAGCTTGGAATGAGAAATCAGAGAGCTGAGTTCAAATTCCAGTAAAGTTTTTTACATTCATTTTTGCACAAATAGCCTTTGGAAAGGTTTGAATTCATCTTTTCTCCTCTCAGCTATAGGTTAAATAGCAAGGTAGACTGGGCTCTTTATGGTTGGCAACCAGTCTAGAAGAGCAACTCTGAATTCAAAACCATATATAGCCTTGGTGACATGCATATTATGCAGCCATGGAAAGGATTATGATTATGGAGTTCACAACTGCAGTGGAGAGTTGTGGACTCTATGATCTCGAGTGAGGCCAACAAGGCCCTTCTGAAAAACAAATTTGAATGACCTCAAGGTTAAAGGTTAGAAAATTTTTCTGCATAAACTTCAGGAAGAGCAGATTAGCAATGTCTGTATGATGAAATTTATCTGCGCTTTTTCTTTCTCCTTTTGATTTTTGTTCCCTTTTGTTATTGCTGGAAGGTATACAAAATAAGAGGACATACATACATACATACATATTTCTTTTCATTTATAAGACATCTGGTGATCTTACCTTGAAATCTGACACATGCGAATAATGTTGATACTTGGTTGGTTTGTGGTATATATAGAGAACCCTGTAAGAAAATATATATGCATAAATTAATATATATATATGCTTCTCTCTCTCTCTCTCTTATATATATATATATATATATATATATATATATATATATGTGTGTGTGTACAAAATTTCAGATATGACTAAAAAATATATCTGTACAAGGACAATGTGAATAAAGACAAAAGTAAAACTTAACAGACACATTTCATCCTCTGATGGACATTCTAGCATTTAAATATAATCATTCCAGTTCATGTCAGTGGGAAACATGTGACCAAGAAGATACAATGAGTTGGTCTCCTGGAGGTTAGCATCAGCAATGCTGATACAAAGCAAAAAAGGTTCTCTATGGTGATTAATAACAGTTTTATTTTTGGAGGTGTTAAAATTTACAAGCCATTCCTTGCCCAAGTTAACAATAGATTGTGGGTCATTTGAATGCTTAACATTGTTTTTATCCACATTACTTCTATCCACATTACTTCTGAGTATAAAGAAAATTTCTAAATTTGCGATGATAAAGTTTCTTATGAAACAAAACATGTTGACATTGTTGTGCTTCTTAAATTTTCTACACAAACCAGATGTTGACTGCTCAGTGACCCCAAGCAGACTGCGTAAATATGTTTTCTATACATTGGCTCCATGCATACATCCACTTTAACTGAAACAAAATTAACAATATATTATGATCAGTCAGAGCCACTCCTGCTCAAAAACCAAAACCTTGATTTTCAGTTGACTGAAGGCTACATATACTCATATTCAAACAGACCAGCATTGATGTCAACACTGGCACACTAAGAAAGAAATGCCACTGATGACGATAGCCACTAACAATATCCATTTCACTTCTAATTTCACCACTCTTTCTCTCCCTGTTTATTTAGCAACTAGTATTTGTATATAGGTAAATAAATTATATATTTATTTACCCATACTCAATGTCATCTCTTGTTTGACACTTAGATTTACATATGCTGAGGTGGAGAAGGAATTAACCCCCCACAACAATAATAACAAGAAGATTTTGACTTCACCTCTGTGACAACATAAAAAGTTTTCCTCTTGTCATTTTTATATAGAAAAGAAAAAATGATAATTGTTAAAAATAAAGAAGAAAATGTAAATAATTTTACTGTAGAAAATTATTGAAAAGGATTTTGATATAAAATGCATTGTAGATGATTTTACTATTGGAGCACTCTGGAAATGATTTTATTAAAGATTTGCATGGAAAATATGCAATAAAAGGATTATCATTTGAGAAATTTAGGCAAGTATTACTTATAAAGCACCTATAATATAAATAATTATACATGAGTTATAATTTGTTTCAAATGCAAATGATTTATTTGATGACCTCATTTTATGAATGTCAAGAATTACAAAGTTTTGTTAATGTATATTTTGTGCTTATTAAAAACTGGGTAAACTTGGACCTTCATGCTATGTAGTGTCAAAATGACAGTTTTTCCCTTGACACTGCTATTATTTTAACTACCTTTGCTTATTTGTTTATTGTTTTGAAAAGCAATGATTAGAATAGTAATAAAACCTAAACATATGACAAGTGAATTTCTACATTTTTTTGTTCTTGAGAATTTATAACAAAAATATTAATCACTATTTACTTATTAGATTGTTTATATAGTAAATTTTATATTTACAGCATTCTAAAAACTAATACAATGCAATATTTATCATTTACCAATTTATAAAGCAATAAATGTGAAAACTTTTTATTCATAAATTTATAAACATTTACTAAATTATTAAAATATCTGAACCAACTATAAGGAAATCCTTATTATTTACCATTTTATAAAATTCAAATCAATTGGCAGTTAGCCAATCTCTTGCCAACCATTCCAATAAATAATATAAAAATAAATAGTGTAAATAAACAATCTAATAGTGTTTATTATTTTTGTTGTCAATTCTCAAGAACAAAGAAAATGTATAAATTCACTTTCATATATTTAGTTATTATTACAATTCTGTAAATCTGTTTTGAAAGTTAGTGAACATATATAGGCCAAATGACAAAAAGAAAAGTTTTTGTAAAAGCAGCAGCAGAAGGAAGCTCACCAGGTTTACATTAATTTATTATTTATTGATTGTATATTAAGTGACGTATGGGCACATGGCCGAGTGGCTAGAATGTTCGCTTTTTGACCATGAGACCCGGGTTCAAGTCTCACCATGGTTGCTCTTTCAGGAAGGAAACTTCCTGATGTTATTGAACTGGAGGGACTGATCCCAACATGCGACACCTTTGAAAGTGCCTGAAAACCATATCACATGCTGACCCAAGTCTTGTGAGTGAAATTGGGTAGACGGTACCCCTGGGAGTTGTTGATAGTTGTGCTAGCACAAAGTCACAAGTCATCATGACTGATGGTTTGAGCATGATGGCTTTGTTCAGATCATTTATAATGCTAGATAACATGCTCTTTCCCAGAAACTGTAACTAAGGTATAAACTACAGGTGGGCTCTGTGGATGTTGAACAAACACAAATGTGCTTGAGTAAGCGTCAGCAATAGAGATTGACTAGCTGCTCTAGTAGATGAGTATCCTTGAATATGAGTGGCCAGCTATACATTAATTGACATCTTTCCAAATCCTTTCATTTTCAATAGAAAAGGGTTATCAAGAGAGAGTTTCAGCATTGGACATTATATTTCCTTATAATTCAGGTTTTATAATAATGTTGAATGTTTCAACATGCTGAAACATTCATTCACAAGAAGCTAAAAAGAAATGGAAATATTATATGGAAGAAATTGCCAACAAAGTTCACAAATCTATCTTTACATATTTATAAGTCTATTCACTCATGCTTAGATATTGCTGCCACGTATGGTCTGATGCTCCTGCTATATATTTAGAGATCCTTGATAAAATTCAAATAAGAATCTGCAATGTAATTGATCCTGATCTGGCATCTTAGTTTCAATCATTTCTTCACCATCGTAATTTAGCTTCCCTGTGCCTTTTCTATAAATATTTTCAGGGTAATTGTTCTGATGAACTTTCCTCTATGGGATCTAGACTTTAGGAATTTAAGTGCAGTACTAGATTAGTGCCAAGATCTTATCATTTTATAGTCATGCTTCCCAGTCAGCTTTGATCTTCAAAACTTTAAATGCAATATCAATCATTAACTTCTGTCTTCTTAATTTCTGTTCTTTTATTGTTCTTTCTCCTTAATAATTTTTTTTCTGATATTCTTTCACACTCAATAAGTATTTATGTCTTAGTAGTTTGTTGTCTTGCTTAAGGTGAGAAGATTAAAAAAAAAATTATAAGTGGAAGTATGAATTCGGGGAAAAAAAGCTCTTACTTGAAACATGTGTAGAACTGTTCAAAATCAATCCATGTCTTTTTAGGACCGGTCACTTCTGGAACTACAGAAAGTTCTGTATCTTCATCTTTCTTCTGACCAGTTTTATCATCATTTTCTGAAAAGAGAGTTTGATCTGCCACACTTGGATCTTGTATCTTTTCTTGGGAATCATCTGAGTTACTTCTTTTCTGATCTAAAAAAAAAAAAAAAAAAAAGTATGAAATTTTGAAATGTACTTTTATTATTTTACACTAATTACATGTAGATTATTGTCCTCATCTTTGTTGTTATTATCACAACATTTTAGCCTATTATATCCTCTCTTCATTCAACATTCACCTGAAGAAGACTACAGGGCACAGCAGCTGAAACGTGGTGCTAACAACAAAAAAATTGAGGACAAAAGCCTTCAGGCAAATAGTGTAGGTAATTCACTGAAATATAAACAGAAATTGGGCTTTTATTATCAAGTAGATATTTTTTCAGACTAGCATTCTCATTTTTATTGTTTCTTACTATGAGCACAGTCCATGTGAAACTTCGCTGAAACTACTAGATGTAAGATATAAGATCTGACTGGAAATGGTCCGACCATTTAATCCTAATGAAAAAAAAATTGTCTACCTTAACAAAGAAAAATAGTGTTTTAGTCCCCTTCAAAGCACTTCCCTTGAGAACTTATAAAATTATCCCAGGATCCCTTCTACTTTGCTAAACATCTTACAATGTTTTCTTTTGGGATAACTATCAGCAGCTACATCACATTGTCTTTAATCTCATCCAGTCTGAAATCTCCTTTTCAATAGTGATTTTTTTTAACTTTTGGGAAAAGCCAGAAGTTGCAGAGAACGAAATCTTGAATGGTAGCAAACCTGAATCTATTGCCAAAACCCACTGCAGGAGACATGAAGAATCAATTACCAATTTCCGTTGCTTGAAACTTACATACATTCAACATTTTTAGGTGTTCTGCTTTTAAATATCTTGGAAAATGTAGATACTTTTCAATAGATTCTCAGCCAATTCTTGTAATCCCTGAAATAGTTTATCTGGATGACCTTAAGGCATATTCATTAATCTATGAGCTTAGTTATTTTTATTTATTTTTACAATGATGTTCTTGGGAGCATTAGTAATTTCATTTACAAAAATGTATGGCTGGTAATTTTTTTACTATAAAAATGTATTTTATACTTTTATAGTGTTTTGACCCCAGTTTGGGAGTTAACTATTTGCTTATAGTTGGGACCCTAACAAGTGCTACCACCTCAGGTTAGAGTGAACCTGGGAACAACAGCAATTAAGAGGTGGTTCCATGCTCCTCGAAACCTCCTGATCAGAAGCTGTATACTAAAAAAAATACACAAAATATTTTGTGTGAAGTTGTTTGCAAAGAATCTTTGTAATTTATTTCTTTTAATTTGAAAGAAAAATAATACTCAAATAAATAAAAATTATTGAAATTTGTCAACCCATGTTTGAAGATTAACTTAATTCTTCATTTATACATGTATATTCTGCTTTACGGAGGGAGCTGGTCAGGTGTTCAGCTGTTTGACAACACTATGAACATATCCAGATTATTTATTATGATGTTTTAATCCACTAAGTCATTAACACTTTAATCCAATATGTCTCTTGGACAAACCAATAATGCAATATTTGAGCCTTAAACCTAACGTCTTCACTTAGGTAGTGGAATTTATTTATTACATCTTAAATGAGATATCCAAAATTAAAAATAAAAACAAAAACTACTTCTTACCAACAGTTGTTTCAGTTTTACTTAGAGTTTTTTGTCTTGTTAAGGTGCTCTCTGAAAGCTTTTTCTGAAAGACAAAAAGCAAGATTTATTTTGTTATCAAAACTTGAAATAAGAATTTATCCACATACATAGGCAAATCAATAATTCCATAGTCCAATGAAAAATTTATTTTTCAATATAATATTAAATAAGTTGAGAACATTATTAATCACATAGATTAAAATCCAGCTAATAACAGTATTAGCTAAAGACTTATAGAGCCACACTCATAGGTAGATAAATTTGTCTATCATCTAGTTCACACTCATCCCTGGTCTTTTGAACAGGAGTAGGGCTTTATCCCTTGCTTCCTGTTTACAACTGAATTTCTGGTTCTTTTTAAAGTCTTTTCATTCTCATTCTCTCCCAGTAGACCTCTGTGTCTTAGTGGCATTATCATGTTGCTTGGGATGAATTGATTAACATATGTGTGTGTAAATTATTTTCAGATAGTGTACTTGTAAAGGAACAAAATGAATAAAAAGAGGCAAGTGTTTTGTCCTCTGAGGGATTTTATCAATGTAATGTAAGATTTATTTTGTTGTATATGTTTATATACAAAAGTGACAATGTCATTGGTTTATCAAGGCTTTTAAATTTGAGAATGTTCATCAGGTGGTTGAAATGTGGAGGACAGAAAGTGTCATAATTCAAAGTCTGGCAAAAAGTGAGCAAGTGATATTCAAGAATTTTTTTTTATCACTTGCTGATCTTTCAACCACCTGATGATCAGTCATGAATGCTCTCAAATTTAAAAGTATTGATAAACCAATGATGTCCTTGTTTTTTGTATATAAACATGAGCAACAAAATAAATCTTACATGCCTTGATAAAGTCCCTCAGAGAACAAAATGCATTGACTAAGATTAGCTTTTCTTTTTGTCTCTTTTATTATATATATATATATATATATATATATATATATATATATATATATATATAGGCAAAATAGCCAACATTTACTACATGAAACTGATAGAAGCACATCGTTTGGCTGTTTCTTTACCTTTCTCTTTTTGTCTTCTTTAGTTAACAATAATTGTCCGAATTTAACTGTATCAAAGTCTAGGTGGAATATTATTTTAATTATTTAGTTTATGATTGGTAGATAAAATATATTTTCTCTTAATGATGATCAAAAAAAACAATAAAAATATTAGGTTGAGTAATTTCTGTTTTCAGAAGCCAATCTTAATCATGAATGTATCATGCTAACTGTTAAATATATCATAGCAGGTGACTGAAAAATGGGTTACATATGACAATGTTCAACCAAAAAAAAGGACAAAGATAAATCTATAATCTTCCACCAAAACTGAGATTCATGGAAAAAAAGTAAAATGGTGGGACTGTTAGGTAATATTCATTTAGAGTTCTTAAACTCTGGTCGTGAGTTCCATTGCTATTGGGAGACTCACTACAATGGACTTTATAACATAAATCTAAGTTTAGTAAATGATTTCCCCCAAGGCATTACCCATAAAAATGTATAGAAACAAAAGGCTAAATAAGAATTTATATATATATATATATATATACACACACACACTCCTTTTCAGTAAGTCATTTTGTTTTTCAGTTGTTCATCTATATTGTCAAAAGCAATGAAACACTCACAGGAATGTCCTGATTTTCATCATCCATTGTCAACAATGTACTGTGATCTTTTTCATCAGTTGAGCTTTCAAATACTTCATTATCAGAAGTCTCTGGGTCAACACTCTCATCTGTCTCCTCAATGGGATGAGCTGTTGATGGCCTAGATCTTCCTCCTCCTCTTTCCAGGTATGATTTTGGACGGGTTCTGTAAGATAGATTTTAAGATTTTGCATTGAAAAAAAATTGGTTCTGTGAAATACAGAATTATTTAACAACATTTTCGACTTCTTTCCCAAAATGTTAAAGGTGTAGACCATAATTAAATTATATATATATATATATATATATATATATATATATATATATATATATATATATATATATGATTTTATTTATTCAAAATTATAACATAAACATGTTTGTTATAATTTTGAATAAATAATATTTGCTCTAATCTATATTGAGCACTCTTTTAAGAATAGTATTTTTGGTTATTGGAACTTATTCCATCTACACCAATTCTATACTTGTGTGTGTGTGTGTGTGTATATATATATATATATATATATATATATATATATATATATATATATATATATATATATATATATATATATATATATATATATATATTTCAAAAGGTAAAATTCAGGTAGAGCTCTATGTACAAGACAGAGCAAGAATATAATATAAAAAAGGCCCAAACACTAATATTCCATGACTATTATTTATTACATTAGAATCGTATCATGATTACGATTCCAATGTAATAAATAAATTATAACCATGGAATATTAGTGTTTGAGTCTTATATATGTGTATATATAAGACTCAAACACTAACTAAGGATTGGTGGAGATGGAATAAGTTCCAATAACCAAAAATACTATTCTTAAAAGTGTGCTCAATATAGATTAGAGCAAATATTATTTATTCAAAAATTATAACATAAACATGTTTGTTATAATTTTTGAATAAATAAAATATATATATATATATATAGTGTACAAATTCAGATGTAAATAAAATATTTGTAAAAAAAAAAAAAAAAGACCATGTGAATAAAGACAAGGAAAACTTTTCTTTACTGACGTGTTTCATTCTCTTAAGAACTTTATCAAAGTAAATGTAAAGATTTTATTTTGCAACAATATAAAGTTTATATAAACTAATTTTGTCTGAAATATTGAGATGGTTTTTCATTTGTCTGCATTGGGTTTCTTTGTTTTTGTATTTTACAAGACTGAACAAAAATTTCTTTTAAAATAATCAGATATGTTGTTAAAACCAAACAAATAACATGATGATTAAAAATATTAACTATTCATATATTAGTAAACAAGTACTACTAATTTTATATATGTAAATACTTATTTATAAATAAGTATGCTGACATAAAACCAATCTTTTGTCCAAACAAGAAAGGCATAGAAACATTGCTTCAAGATGAGATTCTGGAAAAGATTTAAAGATTAAATATTTGTCATAAACCTATGTATTATACATAAGAGTTTATATGAACAAGAAAAACTGTAATAAAGTTGAATTTAATTAGTGCACAAGGAACTATAGTACAATATAGTTTGTATGCTTAATCTAAATTGAAGCCACACATCAAAGTAACTAGCATAACCAAGCTGGTATAAATTAATTTTTAATGCTACAGTTGAAATATATATATATAGTATCCAAATAAGAGATGAAACAGATGGAGTAAAACTCCACAGTTTGTAGCATTTACTTTATTAAAAAATTGTTGTCAGAATGCCACTCATAAACATACATACATATGTGTGTGTGTATATATATATATGTGTGTGTGTGATAAAACATTGTTCTGCAAACAAAATAGATGAACTGTCTGTGTGTTGACCCTGTGACTTACAAAAGAAGTTCAGTACACAATCCAGCATTGAATACACCAATTGCATACATATGTATGCAACGACACATAGATGAACATATACGCCCAGTCCCACACTGTTCATATATGTTTATGTTTGTGTGAGCTGCAATGTGTGAACATATGTCTGTGTACATATGAGTGGCATTCTGACCACGATTTTTCCTCCCACTACCATAAAAACACCAATATATGTAACCATATATAAATCCAAAATTTAAAAATTAATCAATTTGTCTGACGATTGCAAATAGTGTGAAACCCAGGGTCACAAACTCACGTCAATTCAACTAAATATGTTAGCTCTATCACTGATATTGAGCGCTTTCCAATAAGTACTGCACATATATAATATACAATATATATATATATATATATATATATATATATATATATATATATATATATATATATATATATATATATATGCAATTTACACACACACACACATATATATATATATATATATATATATAGAGAGAGAGAGAGAGAGAACACTACTTCATCAAGGAACTTGATGTAGGTCTCTGTGTTGAGTATGAAGCCCTGTGGGAAGATAAATGGTGAAATAACGTTGCCATCACTCGTGATCACTCCAAATACCTTTGTAATCATCATTAGACTCGTCCAACTTTTTCCAAATCCTCTGCACTGTCCTCAGATTGACACCTAAACACACTGAAATGTTCATATTGGAGCTTCTAGCATGAATACCAAACAGTACAGCATGCTGTTTCAAAATTTTTGGTAGAGTGAATTGTGTCATAGTGCTCTTAGTCTCATAGATGGTGCCCCACTTATATTGTACAGTTGGTAAAATCGAAACAATGCGCATGCACAAAATTAAAAATATAAAATGGTGACAATTTACTCACTGCACCTTATATATATATATATATATATATATATATATATGTGTGTGTGTATGTATGTATGTGAAATTAGAACAAAAATTGAATATACACTTACATGGTTGATGGTATTGAAATTGGATTGATTTTGTAGCTCAAAAATGCTGATGCAAGTTCCAGACATTGTATTGGTGGGTCTTCTTCATGCACTGAAAAACAAATATGATTTGTAAATATTAAATCTATAATGAGAATTTTCTTTTTCTGCCTTAGTGTTTATAATGTAATGTCTTCTAATAATATATAATTATATTAAGGGGTTATCAAAAATATTATAGTTTTTGGAGGGTATTTTTTCTACTACAATGCTTATTTCATGCACATATTTAATGACTGTCTATAATTCTACTATACGAGTTGGAAGAAGAGATGGATGCATGTTTTTTTCCCAAAGGCATTAGTGTGACTGAATACAACAGTTTTAACTAGAATTTGAATTTGTCCTGATTCCATTTTCTGTGGTTATAAGCATTATGCTGCCCACATGTCCATGTTATCTTGTATGCATGATTGATTAGAATACACTTGAATCTTTTCATGTCTTTGATATTGTCAACATAATATTTTGGCTGATCCATTCTACAGCCAACTTCAAGTGTGCTGTCAATATAGAAAAAGACAGTTTTTTTTTCCAGGAGTTAAAAGCAAAAAATAAACAATGATAACAGCAGAATTTAAAAAAAAAAAATTTAAGTAGCAACACTTATAAAATCAATTATATTTTTTTTTCATTTATACGTGCAGCTTGTTCTCGTAATTTATATGAAATTGTTCTAAAAACTTTTATTTCTTAAATAACGCAACACTTTTGAGTAAAGAAAACCAAATGGTGTTGAAATTTGTATGAGCTCAACTTATGCAGCTAGCATTTAAACTGATATATACAGCCTCCTACAATTTTCTCACTCTCCACTGATGTTCTGACATCATGTCACTTATAGATAATACATGGCTTTATTATGATACTAGCAGTAGAGCCTGGCATTGCCCAGGGATGTAACAGTAAGAGATAGATCAAGTATCCACCATCATAAAGACTGAAAAATAAAATTGACAAAGATTATTGTTTAAGGTTGATGAACATGCATGTCTTAATTAGTTTTTTTTTTTTTTTTTATGAATTGGTCAAACCCAAACTCAAACAAAAACATTGTTTTCAATCATTATGAGTCTACTGATTGAATAGAATTTTATTAAAAAACAATTGTCTTGTAAATGGAATTTTAAAGCATTCTGAATGTAAAAATAAAGAAAAAAAGTGTGCAAGACAATAAGAAACACTACCTGCCAAAAAAAAAAAAGTGAAGTTTTGTTGAAATCGGTTGAAAGATGTAGGAAATCCAATCCCATATATAAACGAACACAGACACACACACATGAACAACCTGGGTTTTATAATAAGTATAACTCGATATAAGTTGTCCCCTTTCATTCTTGTGACAGTGATGCCTCTTAATTGTGTTTTCAAATTGATTTTTTGTGTTTTTCCAATTTTGTGTCAGAACCACCACAAGGTAATTTTACATATTCCTGTGAAGTTTTGTTGAAATCAGTTGAAAAATGTAGGAAATCCGATCCAATATATAAACGAAAGACAGACACACACACACAACCTGGGTTTTATAATAAGTATGATGCAAGATAAATTATGAGCCTCAGTTCTAAGTAATTTCCATTTTTGGGAATGATGAATGTTTTTTTTTTTTTTTTGTAACTACTAATCATACATGAGTTCAGAGTAAATTTGGATAACATACCATACAGCAGTAGCAGCATATACAGTGGATTAAAAGAAATTTGATGATCTCCATGACAACATAAGACCACATAGATCAAGAATAACACATGAAAATATGTTGGAATGTTTGACTTCAACTGCCATATTCATCTGACTTAACAATTCTGAGCTTTTTCAGTTGTTGCAAAATGCTTTGATGGGGTAAACTTTCTCTAATGAAAACCAGATTTAAAAGTTGTTCAAAAACTTTTCTCACATAATAAATTATAATAAACAATTTTATTCTAAAGGTATTGAAGACCTGATAAGTGGTAACAAGTCATTGCAAATAATAGTGGATATATAATTGAATAAAATGTTTTTGTACTTTAATTTTTAAGAATAAAGTTAATAGAAAAAAATGAAATTTATTTATGATGCAGTCTAACTTGTTTTGAGAAAATACAGTCTGTCCTTGAAATCAAATTGATTTCCTGAAAAATGTACTGTGAATTCTTTTGAACATTGGCTCCTACCTATAGGTTCATCTGAAGGTGTTGTTTTCTTCTTTCTTGGGCGGATAAGTTTCCACTGTGGAATAACTTCTTCTGGAAGTGGTGGTTCAAGAGGTAGTGTACGTGTCTGGGTCAACCATACTGGATGGGGATGCAAGTAAGAAAGACCAATTTGTCGTAACCTTTCACTTGCACTGGCCTGCAAAAATGTACAATTAAAAGCATTTTGGTTTTTAAATTTAAATTTTTTTTTAAGCTTTGAGCAAGTAAAATATACAAGTCCCTTTTTATTTAATTATTTGGAAGAAGGTGAAGAGATATCTTGCAAAAATATTTTTGTGTTGGTCCTTCTTACTTTGGCAGTGAATCAGAAAGTGATTCAAAATGATTCACATTTGATAATGAAAGCAATGGCTGTCCAGGAGCAGTATTAGAAACAAAGAAAAGAATATTGAACTGTTATGTAGTATCAGTCATCCTCTATGACAGTGAATGCTGAACAGTATCCTCACAAATGAAGAAGAGCCTTGAAATGTGGTTCTACAGAAGGATACTTAGAATGCTATTGTCCAAACATGTCAGCACCAATAAAGTTCTAGAAACAATGGCAACAAAAAGGATACTTATACTTAACATCAGGAAGAGATAATTGCCATTTCTGGAGCACATAATAAGGAAAGAGGGCTTGGAAAATTTGATACTCATAGGATAGATTGAAGGTAAGAGGGCCAGAGAAGGCAATGCACAAACCTACCTGAGAGAATGAAGGGTTTGGGAGAGATAGCAAAAAAAGTTATTAAGAGTGACAAAGGATAGGAAATTGTGGAGAGCCATTATCACCAATGTCCTGAAGGGACATGACACAGAAAAGAAGAAGAATTCACAACAATTCATAGATGGGGAAGATAGTGAAAATAATGAATGTTTTGGAATTTTCTGATGAGGTATGACATTAGAGAAAAATATTCTGGTCCAAAGTGGTTAATGGCAGTAAATAAAAATTTCTTTAAATAATAATTTATAGAATTTAATTCATAGAAATCTATAAAAAATCATTTTCTTTTTTAAATATGTAAAAAAAAAAAAAAAAAAAGAAATTATAATTTAGATATGAATACATATCACTCTATGCAAGGCAATAAAGCCACTAAGAGACAAGAGGTTACTGAGTGTGAAAGAATAAAAAAAATAAAGAAACATTAAGGAGCAAAAAGAGTAATCAAAGAGACAGGAGATAACAATTAACATTGTATGGAAAGTGCTCAGACAAACTACATTCCTTGGTTCTGCCAGGTCTAACCTTCATGGCTAGGGCCCACCATGCCACTTACATCGTGGCAACCCCCCCCACATTCCTTTTGTATTCCATCACTGAGAAGTAAGTTCCACTCAAACAGCTTAATTCTGCAAACCACTGTTCTGTGGAATAGACTCCCAAGTAGATGTTATCCAGGTCACTATAATTTTAGCCAATTCAAGTCAAGAGTTAACCATTATCTTCCCCTCTTATTCATATAAACTACACCTTAATGTAACCCTCTACTTTGAGTGGCCCCCAGGCCTTGTAAAAAAAAAAAATTAATTTTTGAAGATCAAAGTTGGCTTAAAAGCATGGAGCCAGAAGAGAGAAGTGTGAAAAAAGAAATTGTTAACGTAGAACTTATGGTTACATCTAGTCAATTCAACTGTGAATTGGTGAGACCTTGCTGCCAATCTAGTACTGTACTCTCTACATATCATAGCAAAGAGTTTGTCTGAACAGTTACCATGAAAGTATTTATAGAAAAAGCATAAGGAAGCAACATTATGGTGGTAGGAAAGTGACTGAAGCTGTGATGTCAGGTCAGGACTAATAATATTGATGATTCTTCTTTGGATTTTATCAAGAATCTCTAAATTCATATATCAGGAGCATTGGACCATATGTAGCAGTAATATTCTAAGCATGAGTAAATGGTAGACTTATAAATATGTAAGATAGTTTCAGGGGAGAAAAAATTGTCTGACGACACAGTGAACCAAATTTCTTAGCAGCAGACCTAGCAATGGATTCAATATAGTCTTTCCACTTCATGTCAGCCTAAAATGTAAGCCTGAGAAGGTGCAATGAGTCACTCCCCTGGAGGTTAGCATCACCCATTCTGATGGATGGGAGGCAGGAAGGTGCCTTTCACTTGACGGTTAGAGAGAAGCCTTGTTTTGGAATTCATATATATTTTGAAATTTAAAATTATATCCAAAATATACTATTAGTATAATTTATAAATATAACACATTTATATAAGTACAATCTTGAAATTATTATTTATAAACAAAAAGTTTGATATCTTTTTGTATCTGTCTATATTTCTGAGATGAGGTATTGTAATTATTTACACTATTTACATTGGTCAGATTGTTGTCCTCATCTTTATTGCCATATTCATGCTAAAGGGTTTGGTTTGAAATTCCAATCATCTGAAGAATGCTGGAGCATACAGCGGTTGAAACATCATGAATATGGCAACAAAGATGAGGACAGCAGTCCAAACAATGTTCTTTTTTTATGTTTTAATAATTAAAATGTTTCTTACATTTTCAAATTATAATTGCTAGTCAAAGTTTTTTATAAGAATGAAAAGAATGTATAAAATACAGGGTGCCCCCCCAAAAAAAAACGGGAATTTTTGAAGTGCGTATTGCCAGACATGGGCAAGTGGCAACACTGCAAGACAGTGACCTTGAGCAAGTAAACATTTCGCCATTTAGAATTCAAGATGAAATTCACAGTATCCCAGGTGAGATGTTGCAGCAGTCAATGAAGAATCTCAACAGCAGATTTCAAGAATGCATTCATACAGGAGGACGCCATCTACAGGACGTAATTTTTAAAAAATGAAAATTCCATCATTGTTTTTATAATGGCATGTTTTAAGGTTTCAATTACTATGAATAAAATATTTTTCTTCCATCACTCTTGGTTTTATTGGATTGTTAAAAAGCTCCTGTTTTTTGGGGTCACCCTGTATATCTAAAAATATTTTTAATTTCAAAATTTTTTAATAAAACCAAATAAAAAGTCATACCATTTCTCCAAGCATGGATACTTTTGTTGGACAGCAGGGAGCCCAGTAGGTGGCAAATATTACAACCTCATTGTCCTTTGTGGATATCTTACAACCTTTTCTTTCATCATCCATTGGAGTTTTGTCTTCTTGTTAAGAATAAAGAACATCTTTTTTTTAAAAACAGATTATATAAAGCAAAGAAACATTTATTATATTTACATTTGGGCATTATTTCTTATTATTATAAATGTTAATTTTAGTGGGTAAATGTGTTTTTTTTTTTAATTTTCTAAAAAAAAAGAAAAAAACAGCCTATATCAAGAAGTCCATATAAAGAAAGATTGTGCCTCAGGCAGGAATTGAAGCTGTATTCCATTTTTCATTGGGGAAACTGTTTCTATAGCTGAGATGTGCCTTTGCCAATTCGACGACAGAGGCTGTGTTTATAGAGCAAGTTTTGAGTTACTTATTTGGGCAATGTACATTTCTTGTTGGTACTTCTACAAATCTATATTTGCTAACTTCAGTTTTGTACATGTAAAATGTAAACAAAATAATTTTAATGGTTTTTTTTTTTTTTAACAATATTTCTTATTACTATAAACATTATTTTTATTGGGCACACATATTTGAGTTGCTATATGTGTTGTTTTTATTTTCTTAAACAATGAAATTAATAAAAACAGACTAGATCAAGAACTCCTACTAAAGAAACTTTCTATAGCTGAAATGTGCCTTTATCAATTTGTTCCTTGTTTTTTTTCTCTAATTTGTTCTTCTCTTGCATTAGAATATAACTTCATTTTGTATTCATCACTAAAATTTACATTTTACTACTTTTAAGCATCTATAGAATATAAAGTCCTATATTTTATGGCCATAGTGAAGCATAAACAAATAAGAGGTGCCTACAAATAAATCCTACAAAAATCAGTAAATACGAAAAAAACTTTACAATCCTATACAAAACACTGCTTCAAAATTAAATAAGTGGTTTCTGGAACCTGATTGCATATGACAAGTCACATAATGTGCTCTTTATGATATCTGCATGATTGAACTCCAAATGACCAGGAAATAGTTCAGGGGTTGGGTTACTTAATACATTCTCATATGGAACACAGATAGAATTTGTGAGCCAGTCACCGACTCACCATAAGCCATAAAAATGGCTTCTCAGTAACAGTCAAGGGCCATACCTGAAACAGTCAGCAAACAAGCCCGGTTGCAATATGTCGCCAGTCAGAGATAATCTGCATACAAAGCTGCGACAAAAGTAAGTTTTGCCTCGGTTTCTCTTTGTTCACGGTGTTTTATTAGTATATGCTTCACACACATATACTGGTGTACATAACTTTGAACTTTGCAGACTCACTTGCAACAAAAATCATTTTTGAACTAGCAAACTATTGGTCTCTTCATGGCCACAACAAAGAACATTTATTTTCAACATGTTATTATATGTACCATTGTGTAATTGTTACTGTCATATTAAGCTTGGTTAACTTCCTGTTCTGCAAAGAGCATTTCCTTGCGTTGTATTTGTGGATATGACACTCGGATTTTATTTTCCCGCCTAAAATCTGGGTAGAATGCACACACACATCCCATGTTCTTTTGTTCACTTGAATCTTCTATTCTAATGTTTTACAGTTAATGATGGATATTTGCTGCTTTACACTCATTCAAGTTGTTTTTTCATAATACTCTGTGTAATGTATTAATTGAAACTTCAATGTTAAGATTGCATTCACTCGTCACTTGTCTGGCTTTTAATCTTGGATTGCCTACCGAAACTCAGACAATTTTTCTTTCATCTCTCTTGTTTAACCTTTGTGGTCTTCTGGTTTTCTTTGCCCTTAAAACACTTTCAATAGTAGCAAACATCTTTTGAATGGTTTGGACACTTTTTCTGGAAATTCCCCAGCTGCCTGGCTATCTCTTGCTGTGTTAACTTTCACTTTCAAGTCAGAAACTTTATCTTTTTTTCAGCAGAAATTTTAGACATGATTTTAGCGTTAAAAAAACAAAAATCAAGCTATTGTTCAAAAACAATCAGTTGCTAAAGCACCTGACACTCATGTTAATGAGTTGGAACAATTCTATCTTAGAATTATGCATATTTTATGACTTTATCATCTTAGATCTTTCATTGTCCCAGTAGGTCTGCAGAGCTCTTTTTCAACTTAAAAAGGTGTATCTTCTGTTACCTATGGAAGTCCTGTCCAAACAATAAATGGTTCAAATTAAACCTACTATAGGAGAATGGCATCAGAAATACCAAACTAGAACAGAAGTGATTATGTCTAGACTCCATATTGGACGTACTACCATAAACCATTTGTATATCCTAAAAAAGGAAAATCTTCCAGTATGTATGGCATAACAAGAACCATTCACCATAAAACACATACTGATAAACTGCAGCAATTTTAATTCAATCTTCTTAAAATATTGCCAAACAAGAAACTTAAAATAACTTTTTTCAAAATACTGATTCATTTTACATATTTCAGTTCCTAAGAGAAATTAAACTGATTTAAAAAATATAATGAAAAAATAACTATAACAAACAGTAGTCTTACTATTTAAAATAAATTTTTTTGACTGTTTAAATACAAGACTATTTAAAAAAAACATTAAATTTTGTAATTAATGACTGAATGAGTTGATATACTGTAAAACAAACCAAATGAAATCTTTTGTTTCACAGCACCTTCAAAAATGTAACAACTTATTTTCCTATCCTCAATACCTATAGACACTGATGATAAAAGCATACTAAACAATTTTTACTCTTTGATAAAATAAATGTGTATTGTCATTTTATGTAGTTGGTCCAAAACTTTTGCATACAATGTATTACTTAACATAACACTAGGGGCAAAATGTATTACTTACATGGTTTTTCCATTTTGTCACTCAATTACCTGTAAACATACAATGCAATCCTCACCACCCAAGATTTTCACTGACCAACCAATGATTACCCCATGCTGTATTTCAATCCTTGATCTTGTTGGTGTTCACCGAAAGCTGGGAAATGTTTGCTCACAAGGTAACATGATAAAAGACAAATGCCATATCAAGAAATAAGAACACAAACCCTGTTTCCCATATTATGTGTATATTTTTTTTATTCAAAGCTTCACCTGCTCATCTGCATAGGTAGGTCAGTGATACTTGGGACGACTTCTGCTATATCAGCTCTTCCCCTACCAACTCTTTGTCCATCTACTCATCCCAACATGGTAGCTGGCAATAAAAAAATGAAGGCTTTGGAACCACTCAACAGACATGCTTGTCTCCCAACCAGAACTCTCTCTGATCCCAAGTATAAATGTTAATATAGACTAGCACTTGGATATACCTTATTTCTGGTTTTGTGGTCACTTGATCACTAAAAACCCCTGATCCATCTCTTTACTTCTGCATTAGCCTTTGATCAAAGTGGATGCCACTTTGAAGACTGAACTTCAAAAGGAACTATCTACTAGATTTAAAAATACCTCTTCCCTTCCTACATGGGTGCCGTTAGTATCACATACCCACTATTTGTTCGATGTGTACATTTGTATATTATATCTTCCATAACTATTATCTCCATACAAGTTTCATAAAGGCAAATTTAAAAATAATCTTGTTATTCTGCAAAATCAGGAAAATACAGCTGAAATTCCTTGGACACATAATGAGGAAGGAGGGTTTGAAAAAGTTAACCTTCACAAGAGAAATAAGGGAAGGCAGTGAACCACTTAACTGATTAGATTGAATAGATGGCAGACAGGGTGTGGGGGCTTTAGCAAAGGGAGAAAAATACTAAGAGCCACACAAGGTAGAAAGTTGTGGAGAGCCATGATTGCTTATGTCCTGAAGGGATGCAGTATATAGAAGAAGATTCAGTTGTCATTACAGAAGACTCTTCACAGTCACATTTAATACTAGCTGAATTACCCAACAGGTCACACATATTTTTTAGTAAGAAAATGATGATTGATTTTAAATCATTGTTATAATTTGTGGAGAAAAATTATGCATCTCAATATTACCCAATGATCTTGCTGATGTGACCTCCATCTTCTGGCTTTCTCCTTCTATATTTTGGATAGAAGTCATTCTCTTGTTCAAATTTAAATTTAATTTAAATCAAAGGGGAAAAGAAAATTTTCAGTGGGGGATTTGTGCCACCCAGGGACCTTCTTTGATCAAAATGAAATATACTTATCCAAGTACCCTGGGTAATGTAGTTTCAGAATATATATGATTACAGGGTCTATTTCCAAAACCCTAGGAGGAGTTTGATAACAACAGAGAGACAGAAGCTATATATATAGATTACATTGTTATGGAGTTAGACTATTGGGCTACTAGATATCTTGACTTTGCATATATGACTTTCCAAGATATTTTTGAGCTATTTTCTCTGGGAAAAGTGAATCATGTGCTATCAAATATGGTAGTTTTGGGGTTTTGATGAGTCACAAAGATCTTTGTGTCAAAAATTCATAAACATAATATTAAATACTTACTTGATCGTTCTTTTTCAGTTTTCTCTTTTTTATCTTTATCCTTGACGTCTTTGTTGGCTAAACAATAGAAAATAAAAAAGACTCATTTACAACATGAATATATTTAAGCAATCATTTTCAAAAGTTTATCTATAATGTATAACAACATATGCTGAATCCTCATCAAGAGATATAGAGGAGTTTACAGCAATATCACATTGAAACACCTGTTCTTGTATGATCACCAAAGTTAAGCAATGATGAGTTTGATCACTATCTAGACGGGTGATGCTTGGGAATACCAGTGCTGTAAGCTTGGATTTGTTGGTGGTTTAATGGATAACAGTTTGGAATTGGAAATTGGAGAGCAGAGTTTCAATTCCAGTCAGGTTCGTTAAATTCACTTACATGCACATACACTTGGGAAAAGTATGAATCCTTCACAGCTATGGGTTAATTAGTAGGACTTGTATCAGTAAATCATTATTACCTCTAAAAAAAAATTCTTAGAATCTAAAAATATTTTCTGGTTTTAAATAACCTGCAAAAGGTTGGTAAGCTATAAAAAACAAGCAATCAAGTACAGAGGATGTTTTTATTTTAATTTTTCCTAATAAATGAAGTGTTAGGCAAATTTTGCAGGATTTTGATTGATATGTCTGTTTATTTGTTAAGTTATCCAGTATTTCCCATATCTCTCATTAGATATTTTTTACATCTTCTGAAATCAATCCATTAGTAAAAAAACAAAAAAAAAAAAACAAACCTTTTATATCAAGTTTTCTTTAAGAAGCAATGAACTGTAATGATTTTTCAGTGGTCAATAAAAAAATAAATCGGGTAATATAAATAACAATCTGTTAATTTGTCAAGTTACCCAGGATTTCCCATGTCTCACCAGATATCTTACATACTTTTTGAAATCATCTTGGACACATAATGAGGAAGGAGGATTTGGAAAAGTTAACCTCACAAGAGAAATAAAGGGAGGCAGTGAACCACTTACCTGATTAGCGTGTGTGAATGGGTGGCAGAATGGAGATTAGGGGCTTTAGTAAAGGGGGAAAAACTGCTAAGAGCCACACAAGGTAGAAAGTTGTGGAGAGCCATGATTGCCTATGTCCTGAAGGGATGCAGTATATAGAGGAAGATTCAGTTGTCATTACAGAAGACTCTTCATATTCACATTTAAAATTACATTGTTATGGAGTTAGACTATTGGCCTATCAGATAACTTCCTCACAAGTGATGAAGAGACTTGAGGCAATAGAAGAATGCCGAGAACACCATGGACAGAACATGCAAGTAACAAAGAAGTTTTCAGGAAAATTGAAACAAAAAGTATGCTAATACTTAGAAACAGAGAATTCAAATTTCTAAGATACATAATGAGGAAACAGAGCTTGGAGGATTCAACAAAAAGACATAATGAAAACAAGAAAGGCAGAGGAAAGTAGCAAGTAACCTACCTAACAAACATGCATAAAAGAATGACAGAACAGGGGCTGGGAGTGATGGTGAAAAGATAAAACTTACTAAGAGCTACAAAGGATAGGAAGTTGTGGTGAGCCGTGATTGCTCATGTCTTGAAAGAACATGGCACATAGAAGAACTTAAGCAATAAGCAAAGTAAATTCAAAATTTAGTAGTTCTAAGCTTTCAAATGTACCCCAATTTATTATTTGTAGCTCAACTTGGAAGAAGCATAGGAAGTTGTGGAGAGTCATGATTGCTGATGTTGAAGTGACATGGAACATAGAGGAACTTAAGCAATAATGAGAAGTAAGTAAATTCAAAATTTAGTAGTTCTAAGCTTTCAAATATCTCCGAATTTATTATTTGTAGCTCAATTTGGCAGAAGCATAGGAAATTGTGGAGAGTCATGATTGTTGGTGTGACATGACACATAGAGGAACTTAGGCTACTAATAAGAAGAAAGTCAATTCAAAATTTAGTAGGTCTAATTGGCAACCATAATCTTAACAACATAAAGTATGCAGATGACACCATGTTGATAGCAGATACAGAAAGCAAGCTACAAAAACTTCTATGGATGGTATAGTGAAGGAAAGCTAAAAGAAAGGATTAAACATCAACTGTAAGAGGATAAAATGCATGGTTGTTAGCAAAAAGATGAGCTAAAAGTGCAAATTGCAAATCAGAGGTACTAAAATCAAACTAGTGTAGAAATTTAAATATCTGGGAAGTGTTTTAACAGAGGACAAAGTGCAACACTGAAATCCAAAGATGTACTGGTATAACGAAGAAAGCATTCCAAAAGTTAAGCAGAGTACTAAAAATATAAAACTTTGCTAGAAACAAAGAAAAGAATACTAAACTGTTATGTGATATCTGTCCTCCTGTATGATAGTGAGTGTGGGATAATCTTCTCAAAGATGAAGAAGATGAAGCTACAGAAATGTGGTTCTACAGAATAACACTGAGGAACCATGGACTGAACATGTGAGTAACGGCAAAGTTTTAGAGAAAATGGTAACAAAAAGTAAACTTCTATTTAACATCAGGAAAAGATGGTTGAAGTTTCTGGGACACATAATTAGGAAAGAGGGCTTGGAAAATCTGATACTCACAGGACAGATTGAAGGCAAGAGGGACAGAGGAAAAAAAACGGATAACCTAAGTTTTGGAGAAAATGGAAACAAAAAAGAAACTTCTACTTAACATCAGGAAGAGACAGTTGAAATTTCTGGGACACATAATTAGGAAAGAGGGCTTGGAAAATCTGAAACTCACAGGAAAGTTAACTAACATATTTGGTGAGTCACTTTCCCAGTTTAATGTTAGATATAATTGTCTGAAGTTGAATAAGTGTGATAGGGACTACTATGTCATATTCACAGTTATTATTAAAAATGATCACAAGAACTTTCAACTGAAATTGTTCACAGAGGATCAGCTTGATTGACTCAGTTTTATTGCTGGGTTATAATCTCTAAATGATACTAACATTTGGACATGGTTGTTGTCTAAACTTGAATAAGACATGGATATAACGGTGAAAATGCTGATGATTGAATTTCAATGTTAGGTCAACCTCAAGCAGGACTTATGGTACAACAGTTTTCTAATCCATCTGTTATGGTAATGTTCAAGTGAGAGGAAAATATCCAACTCTAAATAAAAAAAGAACTACCCACTCCATATTGGTCATATGCCAAATGGCATTGTGTAAATTTTTGTCCATTCAAGAAGCACGTATACCAATTTTGCTTGTGCCGCCTACACAAGGATATATTTTGAGAGACAAAACAGTAACAAGTAAAAAGAATGCCTCAAATTCAAGAGACAGATATAACTGGAAAAATCCAGTTTACCATCAGAAGTCTAATGTGAATTCAGTTTTTGCAGTGTTCAATGGAGATTTTGAATCTCACACAAAATATATCTCTCTTTGCATTAACAACTATCCAGTAAGATTCCAGATTCTACTGTTGATTCTGGTTGATGCAATGTTCAGAAGTGTTTCCAATGGATCATGCCATGTCTAGAGAAACTATAATAAAGCTATAACAAGATTTGGGACCCCAGAGATCTTGGTCTCCAATGCATTTACTTCAGCAGAATTCTCAGCACATCAGATCCCCATCTTTCCAGCCAATATCAAATAGAAAAGTTGAACGCTTTGTGGACACCTTTAAGAAAGCACACTTAAAATTAAAATGAACAGGAAAATATGCCTACCAGTGGACACCATTTGGCCAGCTCCATATCATTCTTATAAAAGAAACAGTGTTGGAGAAACCGTTCAACCGTTATCATGGAATGGTGCCACATTTATTTGTATCAGGACAACCTGTACTTGCCAAGGATTACCATAACAACAAAGTGGATACCAGACTACATTGTACATCATACTGGAAATGTCAACTATGATGTTGATATTCAGTCATCTCTCTGGGTTAGACATGCAAATCACACCCTTAAATATTCAGGCTGGTTGATTGATTGACTGTTTATTTGTTTTAGTAGCAGATCACCTCCCCACCCACTAGGTCATTTAATGCTGAAACTGGATTTTTTCAAGTGGTTGTGAGATTTTAAAATGGTTTTTATCACAAGTTGTATAGTTTGGGAGTATTTCAAAACATAAGTTGTATGGTTTGAATCCAAGCTCTATTTTCTATAAAAGTTGGAAGTATTTTATTTTCTTCAGATATCCTATTATTTGGGCAGTAGGTACATTTTTGAAGAGCATGTTATGATTTTGTGCTTGGTAATAGTTGCTATGTATTTTTTTGTGCTTCTTACATTCTATCAAGAAATTGATTGCAGTGGGTACACAGAGGTGTAGTTTCTGCCTTGAGCGTGTGTGTGTGTCGGCTGATGTTCATATAGTTTGTTTGACGACATGTCCTAAATTCCCTGCCATTTTCTTTTGATGTGTAATTTTGTTTTTATAATCTGTATATAGGAGTTTGGCAAAATATTATGAGACAAGACAATGTAATGCAAGGCAAAGCAAAGCAACTCTAAGACAGTAATGAAATAAAGTTCACAAAATAGAAATAGTGTTTGCATGTAAAAGGGATACAGTCAAGTGGTTATAGACTTCTAACTTCAAGGTAAGAAAGAAAAAAATGTGCGGGTAAGACTGAGAATTGTTGATTTTTATTGCATCTGGGATTTTTTTTAGAAATTTGGGGAGGGTGGGGATTTTTAGTAGTATTTCTTCATGATTGAAAACAGGTTATATTAAAAATTTCTGGAAAGTTACCAAATATGATGGACATCTGAGAAAATGTAAACATTATTGTTGCAAAAATATGATAATAGTAATTAATATACTTTGTTGAAAAATATCTTCCTGAATATCAAAATTAAATTATCCTTTGAATTAAGACATCATTGGTGTACTATACAGTATCTATCATGGCATTTCTCTTGGTAACAGTTTACTTACTAGTGCACATCTCTCTGCATAACATGGGAGAGGCTGTATCAGTAATTACTAGCCTCATCTATTGGTAGAAGTGAATCCAATGTGAATATACAAGAAAGTTCAATACAAGTTTATTTATATAAGCCAGATATAAACATAAACCTTTTTTTACTCCTGAGGCAACTTCTATTTGCAAAGCAAAAGGTCTGTCCTGTTACTGCCGGTGACTCTGATTACCAAATGATAATGAATTTGAGTTGTGTTGTTATGTCTTGTTTTTATTTTTAATCATCACACTAAGACACAAGGGATAATTGAGAGTGAAAGAAAATGAGAAGGCATTAGTGAGGAGACAAGACCATAAAAGAACAGAATTCAGGAAGACTGAAGATGGTGATTAATGTGGTAATTAAATTTTTAAAGATTGTAGATGACAGGGAAGCATGAAAGCAGAAAAGAGTTTTAGAGACAAGAAAAGAAACTATCAGAATAGAACTTACAGTTGAATCTAGCTATTTCAACAGTAAAATGATGAGACCTAGCAGCCAATCTAGTACTGTGCTTAAATTCATGTGACTAAGTTACCAAGTAATACTCATGAAAACAATTGCCATGAAAATATTTATAGAAAAGAGAGAAGGAAGCTATAGTATTGCAGTGAGAAAGTGACTGAAGGCAAGATGCCAGGTCAGGACCAATAACATTACAGACCCTTTGGATTTTATCAAGAATCTCAAAGTATATAGCAGGAACCCCAAACCAGATATGGCAGTAATATTCAATGCATGGATGAATAGTAGATTTATAAATATACAAGATGGATTCTGGTGAGAAGAATTGTCTGGCATGACAGAGTGAAGCAAATTTCCGAGCAGCAAAACTTGCAATTGATTTGATATAATTATTCCTCTTCATGTCAATGGAAATTGTGAGGTGCAATGAGTTTCTCTCCTGGAGGTAACATCATCTGGCATCTGATCTAAAAAATTACCTCCAATCAGTTAACAGGGGCAAAAAAGCCCCTGTTAACTGATTGGAGGTAATTTTTGAGATCAGATGCCAGTTTTATTTTATGGACCTAGCAAACTTACTAAGACAAGAATAAATGGCTGTGTCATCAGCATAAGTACAGAGTTGGAAACTGATGGCATCAACAAGTTCATTGATGAAGATAAGAAACAAAGTAAGTCCAAGGATTAAGTCCTAGGGATGCCCAAATTAATGTGAAATGATGTAATAAAGTGCCTGTTCTACAAAACTCTCATTACATGATTTTTAAGAAAGATTGGATCAAGTCTGTTATGGTCCAGTTCTTTGTACAATGGTGATAGTCCAAGGTAGAACCAATAAAGAAGAACTCGAACACAGGTATGGAATAACAGATATATTAAAACAGGAATATATACAGAGAAGTAGAAGTGTTAGTATGAACAATGTAGTCTCGACCAGTATCACTATTTCAATGTCTTGCAGTAATTGTCTGAACGCGACTCTGTTTCAGACTGCCTCTGACTTGACTCTTGACTCGACTTAAACTACTGACTCCTTGCCTACTCCTGAGATGCAGTATTTATTAAGTATGAAATAGTCCATTATTATTATGGGTAAGATCCCATAACAAAGTCAAATAATCAACCAGAGATAGCCTAGCCCTTCAGCTTGTGAAGAAGGCCAGCATGCCAAAACCTGTCAGATGCCTTTGAGATTTATAGAGCCATTGTCCAAGTTTTGCCATTCTTATCTAAAGCTTGATAGACAAATACAGTAATAACCATTAACACATTAGCAGTTGACCTAGAGAAGCAAAACCCATATTGTTTATCTGAAAAAAGGCTATGTGAAGTGAGATCCTTAACCAATTTGGTATTGATTAGTAATGGTAAAAGCAAAAAGAACTTTGAGGGAATTACAATTTAGGTACTGTCATATACAATAGAATTGATTTCTTTTTTTATGGTTAATCAACCCTTTTTGGGTTATTTAAAGCTGAAGCATATTTTACATTGTAAGATTAAATTTTTTTTGTTTTGCAAGTGAATATTGCATTAACATTTTTTTGAGAATAACAATCATTTTCCAGATACAAGTCCTACTATTTAATCCATAGCTAGTGGGTGGAGATGGCTACACACCTTTCCCAAGGATATTTGCATGTAAGTAAATTTAACAAACCCCAACTGGAGTGATATATAGTGAAAGAGGAAGTAATACTTAGGGATAATGCAGAGTGCTAAAGACACAACAAAATAGGGCATTAACACATTGGCACCCAGACAAAAATACAACAAATTTAGCCATTAACACATTGGCTCCCACACAACCCACCAGAAGGCACCGGTGGTATGTCTGCAATACCCGCATGACTCTCTGGTGAGTCATTTTCCAATTTCTTTTCTATGAAGATTATTGTGAGTGGGATGCTATGATTGATTGCTTATGAGATCCACATTTTTTTTAAAAATTTAAATATTTTTGATATTTTTTGTCTTTTATTTCATTTTCCTTTTGAAATTTCTATTATTGTTTTTTGAGGTCATGTTTTTTTATTTTTATATACATAGAACTGTACCATGCATTTGTGTGGGACTCTGTGTTATAAAATGGACCCAAGTACTGACTGACACACCATTGGGTTGTGAGTAATAAATACTACCTCATATATGAAACCATGTTAAAACAAAGTCTCTTGTACCAAAATCAATTGAGATATAGTGTTGTGACCCTGGGACAACAAGGGAGAATGAGGCTTGGGTGCCAATGTGTTAAGATCATTTAACCTTTGGCTTGAAATGTGGAGAAAAGTTAATTTTTACTTTTAACTTTATCTTTTGATGCTGCCATTCTTGAGTCTGTCTTTTCCACAGAAGATTGCTTTAGTAGTAAATCTTTATCTTCTTTTGCATCTTTTGGAATATTTTCCTGTAAAAGCAAAAGAAATGTCATAAAATCAATTTCTATGAAAATAAAGTGAAATTTATACTTTTGATATTAATTATCTACAGATATTTTTATATGACTTCTGGAACTGGTCTGCTTTTTATATGAAATAGTTCTGCAAATGTGACAAATATATATGATGTTATATATGTTCAAGCATGTTTCGTTAAATAATATATATTTATTTTTTTTTAATAATCCTTTCTAATTCTTTAATTAGGTTTTTGATGTTAAGTTGAAATTTATCAAGGAAGGTGCCATATTTTTTGTTAACCCAAATACTTTTGATCTCCTCTGAGATCATCTTCAGGGGCAAAATGGGAAGACAAATTTAATATAACTATAATTGTTGCGATAGTGATTTTGCAAACATGTGCAAATGCACACTGCTGTAATTATTTTAAAATTAGCTATTGTGGTTATGATGTTTTGTAAACAAGCATTCCCAGTCCAAGGACTGTAACTAGATATGGCAAAACTACAAATTGGTAAATTTCAAAATGGTGTTAATTATTAGTCACTCCAAATGCATTTTAAAACATTGCTACTATACTCATAATAAATTTTGTTCAGTGTTGGTTGCTTTTGATATTATTTAATGAAATATGCTTGAATGAAGATATGCTGCCTAAATATACATAATTTAATATTATATATATATATAAATAATTGTGTGTAAAAAGAATCAGATAAAATATATCTGTAAAGACAATATAATTAAAAGAAAGGACAAGAGGAAAACTTTTTATGTCAACACATTTCATTCCTTGTCAAACTTTATAAAGGCAAGTGTAAAAATTTTTATTTGGTTATCTGTATTTATACACAAAAGTAACATGGAGAGAAAGTATGGCTAAGTTTTCTATAATTCAAAATTCAAAAACTTAATATTTGTTCCTGATGATACATACACACACATATATATATATATATATATATATATATACACACACACACACACACATATATGATAACAATATATAAAATTTTTTATATATCAAGAACGATCTTAGGAGAAAGAATTATGACAAAGTGGGAAATGTTTTTGTGTGTCCTTTAGGTCTTCATCAAACTCAGTTTATGTTAATGTGACTACACATTCACAAACAGGTGTCACTGTGAATTTTAAATTTAAAAGTAGTTTTTTTTTTTTTTTAATATATGTTTCAGGTATATAATTTAGCCAATTTAATTTAGATTGTTTTTCTTTTTGTTTATGTTTCCATCACTTTTGTTATTAAATATACCACATTGTGATAACAGAATTTCTGCAAAGAATGGTGAAACTTGGACGCAAATTTACTGTGGATGATCTAGCAGAATAAAGCACTTTCTAAACATTTTCATATCAGAAAATTGTTTTCTCTTTCGATTAGCATTTTTTAAATCAAAATTGTGGTCAGTCTAGTTACAGTGAGTAACTAATGCATTTAATGTGTTATCTTGTAAAAAAATCCCTTTTATGTTTATATAATCTTTTATTTGAGGTTTCTTCAATGTATTCCTTGTGGCAATTATTATAGCCCATGTAGGAAAAGTAAAGTATTGTTTGTTTCCATTTCATATGTAAATTCCATTCACTGTTCAACTTCATTTTGTCTACCTCAGGTAAATTAGTATCACATTGTAAGCATAAACTTTGTCTGATAAATTCCTAAAGAATGAAACACGTCTCAATAAATTTTTTTCCACTTTGTGATACTTCTAATTCATGTATATATATATATATATATATATATATAATAGATTTTTAATACAAAATTATTTCTTATTACTATATTGTTATTTTTAGTGGGTACATCTGTTTGAGTTGCTATCCTTGTTTATCTTTTTTTTAAACGGAAAATATTCAATCTAGGCCAGTTGTTATTAATTTCACTTTTTAAGAAAATTTAAAAACTAGGATATCCATTCAAACACATATACCCACTAAAAATAACATTTATAGCAATAAGAAATAGATATATAGTATTCAAAGACATGCACATAAATGGTGTACTTGAAAAGTTCTCAGCCCAACTAAATATGGTTGAAAAAAAATCTATTTTAAAATTTTCTCAGATTTTGAGAAGAGAACCCAATAACTTTTCAGCACTTTCTAGTATATACACATGCCAACAAATTTACACAGTTACATGCATACTGTGTATGTATGTGTGTGTATATATATATATATATATATATATATATATAAAATGTGTGTGTGTTTGGTTGAATAATATCAACAAGTTTTGTTTATCTAATTTTTTATTAACTTCTTCAAATTTCTGAGTAAATTGTTTTATATAATCCATAAAGTGACTTGAAATTGGTTCCAACAAACATGGGGGAACTCCAGAATTAACCAAAAACAGTGACATAAATATACATAAAACATAATTCTTGAAAATAAATGTAGCAACATTTGAAAGTACTTGGTGTGGGGGGAATCAAAATGATGTTTGGTAAATTTACTAATTATATAAAAAAACTCCTTCACAAATTTGAAGTTAATAAGAAATTGGATAAATAATAGATATTATTCAACCACATATATATATATATATATATATATATATATATATATATATATATAATATTAGTGGAAAATATACATACATATGAAAAATATATCTAAAAATTCCCATACATGTATATTTTCAGAAAAAATTTTCCAAGAGGAAGGATCCAGGTTATATATATATATCTTTGGTGTTCTTTGTGAACACCTTAATATATAATCATGAATTAGTATATAATATTGTCTAGAATTAGTTTATTATTCCTTCGATCTCACAATGTGCTGTTTGTAGTGCACTTCATAGTTTAACCCAATGGAGAATTATCATATATGCCATTGCTTACTCTATGAATTTTGGAAAGGGTAGTGCTGCTAGAATGTTAAAAATATTTGTGCAGAGTATATGGATGCAGTAAAAGCTCATACATATCATTTGTGGTTTAAAAATGATGTTTGTGAAATATCCGACAAACCTTGCTCTGGAAGTTGACCCACTCTGAATGAAGAACTTTTAAAAGATACTATTGAATTAGATCCATGTCAAAGCACCAGAGATTTGGCAGAAAAACAGTCTGCAAACATCTCAAGTAAATTGGAAAAACTTACAAAGAGGGAACTTAGGTTCTTCATGAGCTGTCTCTTGTGAACCAAGGACAATGTTCCATCATCCACAGCAGGTTTTTATTTTTAATCAGGAATGCCAACCTTTCACTTTTGCATCACATTTTTACAGGTGATAAAAAATGTGTTTTTCATTTCAAAGAAAATGAAAAAGACAGTGGTTATCACAAAATAAGAAACCAGTGGCAAAACCCAAACTGGGACTAAGGGAATTCCGGTTGTTTTTTTTTTCTTCCACTTAGTGATATGCTAAAGTTCAGTGGGTTGTCTCGTCCGAGCCGAGGGCAATAGTGTTATGTTTGTTTCACATACGTGCAAGATTGACAAAAAAGACCATGCACATTGACGGCGGTGGTAGCAGTGGCAGAGACTGGCTTTGAGACGTTCAAGGTTTGTATTTCGACAGCCGAGAGTGAAACAATGTTGCTGTCGCCGCTGCTGCTACACATAGTCCAGAGAAATCTTTGTTTTATATCTGCTGGAATATGAAAGGTGTCATTCATTATGAGCTATTGAAACATGGAACATCACTGCAGAAATTTATTGCCAGTAATCTGATTGGGTGATAAAACATTATGTTGAAAATGTTTTGTTTTGGTAAACAGCAAAGGTGTTATTCTCCAGCATGACAATGCAAGGACACATTCTGCAAAACAAACCCAAGAAAAAAATAAAATTTTTAGGATGGTAAGTTCTTTTACATCCTCTATACTCACCAGATTTAGAACCGACAGATTTTCATTTGTTTTAATTACAAAAACATTTCATAAGAGGCAGAACATTTAGAAGCAAAGAAGTTGGAAAGTTATTCAAATTATTTTTGGGAAAAACCGAGATTTCTATAAATGTAGAATCAAAATTGGCCTGTTTGTTGGGCTGCAGTCAATGAAAATGAAGGTGATTACAGTTTTGATAAATAATATTTAAATAAATTACATTTTTTATATCCCTTTCTGGCAAAATCTAAAAACCCAGGAATTGAGATTTTTGCCTTCTTTGGGCTGCAGTCATTTAAAATGAAGGTGATTACATTTTTGACAAAGAATATTTAAATAAATTTAACTTACATTTGTTTTAATATCCTTAACGGTAAAATGTAATTACTTTCCAAAGACCCTTATTTATACATATATATGCATGCTTCAACTGAATTGTGTTGAAGCATGAAACAGACCGTTGCTGCTTGATGCTGACCTCAGTGTATGTATGTATGTATGTATGTATGTATGTGTATATATATATATATATATATATATATATATATATATATATGAACATGAATGGGAAATGATTGAAAAAAGACATCCATCATAAAAAATTACTTAGTTGGTGACATATAAGATGCACTTGAAAAAGTAGGTTAAGAAAAAGCCTTTCATCTTATATGCAAATTTGTTAATTTTATCTCTAATTCTCACTACCATAAGCTCAGAGTCATTTCTATTGAGACCCCCGGCTATATAATATTATTTATTCAAACAGCATTATTACTATTATTTTTATTATTATTATTATTTCTAGTACTGTAAAAAAAAATAAATAAAACAATATATCAGAAATGTTTATTACCAGTTGATTCATTATACCTAAATATACCTTTACACCAGGGTTTCCCAACCTGAGAAATATCACTTATAGGTGGGTGATTTCTACTGTTGGTTATGTGATGAGCAATTGAATAGTAAATGGCGATAATAATTGGAATTTATGGTGCATGATATAGAATTTTAAGTATTAAAAAGGTATTTCAACATATTCTACCCAAAAATATATTCAAAGGAGATATGCAAGGGACCTTATTAAAAAGAACAAAAAAAACAGGTGGCTAAATGGGGATAACTGGCTCACATTCCAAGATATA